TTGTGTTTTATCATTTTACTCGTGTGTCTGCCAAACGTCTTCCTGTGTCACTATGCATTAGTTTCTTGCTGTAACATTTACAGTTTTTATGTTACCTTAAATTTAAAACTACACTGTGTAACTTTTTTTTTTTAATACTGACTCACAGTTCAGCATCTTCCCGAATCCTGAGACTGTGAACGAGCCACGACAGAGCTGGGCGGAGCCTAACAAATCAGGGCGAGGCATGGGTGGGGTCTACTTTCCAGTCTTTTCTTTCAAGACTTGATGGCTCTTGAAAATGCTCCTACAAAATAAATGTCCCATTTTTAATATAAGCAATGACTGCACGTAAACTTGTAAAGGTTAAAGCAGGAAACTTAAGACTCTTTAGATTTAATCACTCATTGGCCTGATGAAATAATGATGTGATAATAACAGAAGCAGCTCTGTGATACAGGTGTTGTTATCTCGGCGTACATGTTGTTTCCTTTCCTTTCCTCCATCGGTCCATCTCCTCTTCATGCACGCTGACAGAGAATCCACTGCTTGTCCGTGGACCCTCCTTTATTCCTTAATCTCTTTGCACTCCCTGATTTATTTTCCTACAAACGTTATCATAAAGTTTACCGTGACAACATGTAGCTCAACTGTTACATTATCAGGGAGTCGGAATGTTTTCAAAGCATTTTGACACCAAGACATCGAAGTCTTAGCACTATTTGTTCCTCTGCTCAGTTTTAAAGGATGCCTGTTACTTTTACTGTTAATATTATTATTGATTAATAACACTGTATCATCCTGGAAGCCATTAAAAGAGAGAATTTATACTGAAGAAGTGTTTGTTTGTCTGAGTTCACACAGAAAGTAAAGTGGATTCAAGGGGAAGCGTTCAAGTGAGAAGAGGATTTGATATTGATTTTGATTTATTAACTACAGACATTTCATGATGAGGAAAACATCAGTGGTTTTTAAGGCTAAATTAAAGGTTTGTATTAATACCTGAATGATACCCAGAAGAGGGCGCACCTCCACCTCCACTGCAGCAGCACTAAATCTCACACTCATATATCAGTTCCCTGCTTTTCTTTCATCAAGATCCATGAACTGCTCCCTGGGAAAAATGGGAACTCAAAAAACTCTTCATAATAGTAGGAGTGATTAAAAAAACATCACCACACATCAATGAGCATAGCGCAGGAAAATGAATTGTTCCTTGTTCAAGCACATTGTGTACTTCAAAAAGGTATTTGTCAGTACTCATCAGTGAATTCTCCATCAGTACACTGTTAGAAATTTTCCTGTAAAAAAACAGTAAAGAACTGGCAGCTGGGTAGACACCAGGTTTCTCAATCCAGCCTAGGTAGCCGTGTGTGTGGTGTGTGTGTGGTGTGTGTGTGGTGTGTGGTGTGTGTGTGGTGTGTGTGTGTGTGCCTGAGAGAGTGCCCCTCATTCCCTCCTATCATACTAACATTCCAACCTGAAACATCCAAGCAGTTCATGTGTAGTTTCAGAAACAGAACACAACAACACAGAACACCACGTGTCACACTTCTTGCTTTTAATTAATAAATTAACTGATTAATTGTGTCATGTGATGAACATGCAAGTATGCTACTTACTATGATCAGTAGGGCAGCAGTCAAGTCATCTACTGCATCTGCAATATCAGAGAAATGTGTCAATAATCAATCTAAATCCAAATGAACAGTCCCTTGCAACACGCAAGGTGGAGAAACAGTCACGGTCACAGCAAAACAAATATTCTTCAGTACTTAATTTGTGATCCAATAAATATCTTGAAAATAATATTGCCTTTATTTGAATCTGCACTGTGACACACAATAATTAGCATGCACTGTATAGTCTTACATAATATTAGCCTGATTCAACTGTTGAAGTGACTTGAACAGTAAAATGTTTACACAAGACAATCATAAAGTTTCATGAATTCACTGGCAAAATGCAGGAGTCAACACACATTAACTCAGTAGAAATTAAAATATGCTCCTTGTGTTGTTTGATTAGTTATCTTTGAAAATTTAGCTAGCTGGTAAATCCTTCTATAGCATGATGTGCACATGCAGTAATCATCAATGCAAACAAAACAAATACAATCAGATAAAACAATGATATAAATATATAATATAAAACAATCAAATTAAATTGATATACTCACCAAATAATTAGTAAGATGGGGATGGATCAAGAATGGCAGGTATCTAGCTTCACATGTGCAGCTCAGGCAATGCTCTTCCCAGAATTCCAAAAATACTGCATGATAGTGTTAGTTAAGATACTTTTAATGTAAAGTGCTGTATTTTAGGAATACATTACAGTTCTGTTAAAAAAAAACTGAATGGACTGTAATTTAACAGATTTTCTTTAATATTAACAGTAAAGCACTGCATTTTTAAAAAACGCCTTAACACTGTTGAAATCCTGCAGTAAATTTACAGCAATTCATTACAGTGTATCTGAACCTTCATATTTTCACATGTGCTGATGATAAATCAGAGCAACCGGAGCAGCTTTAAATCTGGTCACAATCAGGACAAACTTATCTGGAGTCGCAGAAAATATTGTTTCCTCTTAAAATCATTTATTCATGTATGTACAAGTGAAAAAAAAATAATTTCATTGAATCACATATGATGATGACAGAAGC